TTATATATATATATATATATACACACACACACACACACATATATAGTATATATAATAGAATGTTACCTTTTTCCATTTCATTTATTTTTATTTTATTTCATTTTTTTAATAAAACAGCAACTTCTATATATTATATATACATGTGTGTGTGTGTGTGTGTGTGTGTGTATATATATATATATACACATGTATAAAATTAATTTTATATATATTAAAAAATAATACTATTTTAACAAAAATATGAATCGTTGCACCTTAGTCAAGAAGAAATTACAAAATTACTCATCTAGCATTTAGTTGCATTCTCTATCAACCCATTTTTTTTAATAATAAAGTGTTCAATGTGAAGCACATCTGATTAGATGGAGTTTTCTTATCATGACTAGTTGTTCAGGCGATCCACCATCGGGTTTAATTTCTTTAAACATCTTTAGTTTTCACACACAAAGGCATGACGTGAAAACACTGTATACTTTGTTACTCGCTAAAACAAAAGAAACAACAACGCTCGCCTGTCTAGCCATGAAAGAGTGTTAATATAATGAACATGCGACCAAATTACAAGCCAATTAAACAACAAAGGGGTCAAAAACAAGCGATCTGATGTCAATGATGGAGAAATCCAAAGAAAAGAACCACGTGAAATGTGCGTAAATAAATGACACGAAATAGAAGACGAGAGACCGAAGGAGATGCATGAACACAAGAAAGAAATAAAGAGAGAAACGGAGAGAGAGAGAGAGAGAGAGAGAGAGAGATGCATTCTCAATTACAGAGCCATCTGCCCGTTCCTGGAGAGCAGCCAACACCACAGACAGCTGGAGACACGCAGAGAGAACCAGGAGGAAAAATGAAAGGAAAGAGAAATAGATGAGGGCAGGGAGAGTAAAAATAGAGGCACTATTTGAGAGCCACAGAGACAATAAGACCAATGTTAAGAACGGAGAACTGCACACAGTTCATACAAGTAAACACGGATTAAACTCATGAGGCTATATGTGACCCTGGAGCACAAAACCAGTCATAAGGGTCAATTTTTGGAAATTGAGATGTATACATCAGCTGAAAGCTGAATAAATAAGCTTTCCATTGATTTATGGTTTGTTAGGATAGGACAATATTTGGCCGAGATACATCTATTTGAAAATCTGGAATCTGAGGGTGCAAAAAAATCTAAATATTGAGAAAATCATCTTTAAAGTTGTCCAAATGAAATTCTTAGCAATGCATATTACTAATCAAAAATTAAGTTTTGATATATTTACGGTAGGAAATGTACAAAATATCTTCATGGAACATGATCTTTACTTAATATCCTAATGATGTTTGGCATAAAAGAAAAATCAATAATTTTGACCCATACAATGTATTGTTGGCTATTGCTACAAATATACCCCAGCGACTTAACACTGCTTTTGTGCTCCAGGGTCACATATTATGAGATTAAAATTCACAAAAGCGATTGTATACACATAGAATGCATATTAAATGCAAATAAAGTGTCTACGTTAATGTTTCTAATAACCTTTGTGAAAATAAAATGTCAAAGTATGGGTGAAATATTCCATCGTGGTTCAGCACGACATATGTTTATGCAAAAATTAAACAACATACTTACTCTGACTTGTACTTATTAAAATATATAAAAGAAAAAATTATCATACTAAATTTTAAATTATTAAACACATTTTACAGGCAAATGAGTAAAACCTAGTGGTTTGAAGGATTGTGGAAAAGATTGGTAAAGATTTAAAATTACAATTAATTCGTATTCTGCGATCCTTAAAGAGAGTCTTTTAATGTCATCTAATGATTCTGATTCTAATATTGTTAGTTTGTTTTTTATTTAATGCCATATCATCACCAATGGCTATATTCATGGCAAGATAAACAGTATTATGATTACAAAATAATTTCAATACACTGGTTACAATAGTTTAACAAAAAACAACAACATACAAAATGTACATATTAAAATAAAAATAATGACAATAGTAATAATAACCATTATATGGAATTTTTCAATTTAATGCATGATAAAAAAATATTCCATGAGGAACCTTTTTAAAAACGTCCATATATTTTGCCTGACAAGATTTGTTGGTATATGAACTATTGTTACAGTGAATGACATTTTAGTGGATGTTTTCTGTAAATCGTGGTAAAAATGTATGATAGTCATTACTTTTTGCTCAGAAAATAACATTTTACATTCTAATGTAAGGTGGGGAAAAAAACTAAATTTAAAGCGGTATTAAACTTTTATTGTTTTAATGCTTGAAAACCCCTTTTCTTCTTCTATACACACATATATTAGCGTAATTTGGGTATTTGAGATGATCAGCTGTGTCCAATTGACCAATTAAAGCGATAGTTCACTTAAAAAGAAATTTCTCTCATCATTTCGTTCCAAACCCGAGTGACTTTCTTTCTTCCATGGAACATAAACAAAGATATTCTGCATAATTTCCAAGTTGCTTTTGGCTCAACACACCCAAACTATTAGTCAGTGAAAACAAACGTCTTGACAGTTTCTGCTCACCACGATGATTTTACTGTAATGAATAGAGCAGATCAGAAGCTACATTTCCACAGAAAGAAAACCATACGGTGTGGAACACCACAAGGATGAAGACCGGGGTTATAGTAATAAAATAAACAAAAATTAAAACCATTAAAAAAAAACATTTACGTTACTTAAAATAAAATACACATTAACTGAAAATAAAATATAAAAACAATATCAAATAAAATAAATATACTTTATTATATTTATTTATTAAACAAACTAAATATATTTATTATTATTATTTTAATTATAATATAATAATTATTTTATTATTAAAATATAAAAACACAAAATAAAAAATAAAAAATAACTACATATACATTTAAGAACTATGTCCATTTGCTGTTTTCAAATACTGTGAGTGAATTGAATAAATATTGTGCCAAACATTCATATAATATCTATTGTACGCACATTGTATAATTACTGTTTTATGGAAAATAATTTGCACCATGTAAAAATCGCATTGTTTAAAAAAAAAAAAAAAGTGTAATTTTATTATTACATTCAAAAAGAAAAGTAAAATACAAGAAAATGAAATGAAATGTTATAAACGCCATAAAAATCTATTTTAGTTTCTCTCACTCCAGAACAAATACTTTAAAGGGGTCATATGATGCTGCTAAAAAGAACATTATTTTGTGTATTTGGTGTAATGAAATGTGTTTATGCGGTTTAAAGTAAAAAAAACACATTATTTTCCACATACTGTACATTATTGTTTGTGTCTGTGTGTGCGTGTGAGCGAGTGTGTGTCTGTGTCTGTGTGTGTGTGTGCGTGTGTCTGTGTGTGCACGTCCGTGTCTGTGTGTGAGAGAGTGTGTGTGTGATTGTGCGTCTGTGTGTGTGTTTGTGTGTGTGTGCGTCTGTGTTTTGGGTCAGACTGACTTCACGTGGCATGATAATCTGGGCTCAGACACTAATGAGGGCACGTCAACACTCACCGAAGACACGGACGACGGCAGGCCAGAAGGAACCTTCCGGATCTTCTTGGGCAGTGGATCTGAAACGAAAGCCTTTTTGTAAGCCTTTTAAATGCTGATTTACACTTAAGGTGATCAGTCGACGTGACTGACGAGCAGATGCACACGAAGACACCTCATGCTTTTCAAAAACCACACACATTTTCATGAGTGACTCCGTGTCGTCACTGCATGAGCCCACAAAGCCGTCGTGCATGAGGGGAAACAAAATAAACCCTTGAAACAAGACTGCATGATATATTGAGATATAACCGATATTGTGATAAGGCTTAGGAGCAGAGGCTGCTAGTGAGAGAAATGCGGCATTTACACGTTTTAGTTCATGATACATTCATTTACTGTGAATCAAATCACTCAAGCGGTCGAAATAAAAGCTCAATGGCGTACCATTTGAAAATAAAGAAATTAAGATTATTTAGAATTTTTCTATTTTACAGTACAAATTTTAATACATTTCCCATTTTGTTTAGAATATATACTAATTAGTAATCAAAATAAAACAATAATTATTAAAAATATAATTTAAATAAATTATATAAATAAAATATAATATACTTCAACTGATTTTACTTCAACATTTTTAATTTTCATTTAGTTTAAGTACCAAAACAAATACAGAACTAATAAAACTTAAATTAAAGTGAAAACAGAAAACAATAATTATTAAAATATTTAAAAATAAAATAATTTAAATAAAATATACTTATATACTTCATTTAACTTGTTTTATTTTAGCAATATTTTTCATTTTTGTTTAGTTTAACTTGAAGTACCAAAAAACTAAAATTAAACTAAAAATAAATTATAAATAAAACTAAACTAAAAACTAACAAAAATGTCAAACACAACAGAATTACTAAAACTTAAAAAAAAAATTTGTAACTATGTTTAAAATATGTTTAAAACTAAAATTAAAGAAAACAGAAAATACAAAATTAAAATCTATTCTAAATATTAACAAAAACTGTAACAGTATTTCAAATTTACTACAATAACACCAATAGAAATATATATATATATATATATTTTTTTTTTCTCTATACTGGTCAATCAAAAAAGTCAAAAGAAATTTTTCTGCCTTTTAAAAAAAATATTTTTCATTTCTATTTCGATGCATTCACCAACAAAATTACTCCACTCACTCCAGAATGATGTATTCATTATATAAATAGCTATTCAAGTTATCTGGTGAAAAATTCCTGTATTTTTCAATACATGAAAAACAGAAAAACAAGGGTTTATTTTGCAGCAGCCTGTATATCGTCGCACTTATTAGACATCTCTTCCTGTCTAAGCGAGCGGTTCTCGGCTACAATGAACTAGGAAATCTGTTTGATACAATTATACAGTTTAACTGTATTATAAAACGGAGAGTTCCGGTGCTTGATTCTGATTGGCTGAGCCGCGTTCGAAGCTGTTGTAAATTACTCTACAAAGTAACATACACCTTTGTTTACGTTTGTGTGTTGCTCGGCAACCACTTTGTAGCAACCACAACTGATTCTGAGGAACTACATTGTTTGGTGGAAGAATACTGTTTTTATTAATATCATTACACTTTATTTGCTCTGTTTTATTTTGTGAAACTTTACTACTCACCTATGCTGGAGTCGGCGAGCCTCCGGCGGTGAGTACTGTAGAACTGAGAAGAGACTTTCATTCCCGGAGGAGAAAGGCCACCGCTAATATCAGCGGGCAAGAGCTGCGGCTAAACACAAATAACAGAGTTCGGTGAAGACGGACTGGAGGATGAAACCCAAAACTGGTCAACTACTTAAAAACAGCTCATTACCTGTGTAACGGGGTATCCTCTTTCAGATTTCCCTGCAAAAGACACCAGAAACTCTTATATTGAGCCAAAAAGATCAAGTATTACACTTAGATTACCAATGGCAGAATTTTTGTTGTTGTTGACATGTTTGTGCTGCTGAGAAATCTAGAACTGCACTGAACACGCTTTTAACCTCCGTAACACGGCGCATATCTGAGCAAAACATGATTCTTGATGAGAAAAGACAGGAATAGATTTTATCCTTCTGAAACTAATTGAATAAAGTTAGTCTGGTTTGATTTCATGTTGCCTTTAAATACAATAACAGAGCTATATAACTAGGTATTATTAAACTAGGTATTTTAATGCATTAAAAATTCTCCAGTTTGATTAAATTATTCTAATTTAATTATACTTAAATGTAAAAAATTATATATATATAAAAATGTATTTCATTGTATTTCTCATTTTAATTTGTTTTATATAATTTAATATAATTTGTGTTTTTTTTATGTAATAGTTTAATATCTGAAACTACACTCTTACCATCAGTCAGTCAAACATTATAATATGATAATCAATATTATTTAATTATTTAGTAATTAGAATTAAAACTTGATAACCATGTATGAATGCATATTAGTCATTTTAACTGAACTTCGGACTGGTGGTGGTGCTTTTTTGGTCAGTCAGTGTTTCTGTAAAAAAATTAAAAATTGGGGAAAAACTAACAAAAATACTGATTAGATAATGATACGAATTCTACTAATAAGAACAATATAAAATGCACCAAGGATTAATGAACTGCTGGGTGAATGAATATTAATCGGGTTGTGTGCGTTCGCTAGAACTGATTTGCTGAAATCAAAACAGGAACGATAATAGGTGAGCGCCAGCCAATGAGATTGCCGTTTGCGCATTAGT